GTAAGAGCTGTGAGACTGTGGAATAGACTCCCTCAAGAGTTGGTTGTGGCCAGCTCAGTGGATTGCTGTAGGAAAGTCCTGGATTCTTTCTTGGATACACAGAATATAACTGGATATGGGATCAGGAAGGAATTCTTTCCCCTGCAGGAGCAAATTGGATCATGCTTTGCTGTTTTTTTTTTTTGCCTTCCTCTGAATCATCTGTGGGTGTAGGATTATAACTTTTTTTTTTTTAATGGTTGAACTGGATGGACTTTTATCTTTTTTCAGCCAGACTAACTATGTAACAATGTAACCCTAGTGGGTTTCTAGAGAATTTTTGTAGCCATACAAACGCATTAAAATGTGGCAAACTGGCGTTTTGGGGCTTTTTTGAGCAAAAAATTATTTTTTTTTGTGTCAAAAACACAAATGCGGAAAAAGGCGCCTAAACGGTAATGCAAAAAATGCTGAAAAACTTGTTTTTTAATGGAACTTTACACAGCTAACGCTACCAGCGTGCATGGAGCCTTATGAATAGGCAAATCTCTCAGGAATATTTCCTGTGAACAAAAGAAAGCAAAACACCAAATTCAAGTTTTATAAACAGACACAGAAATGATTTGGGTTTTCCTGACATTACTATGCAGTTCTGTTATATTGTTGTTTAGATACAGTGCTTCTCTAAAGATACAACAACAAAAACTCCTGTCTGGTAATAGATGGAAATGTTGTCACTGTTGTGTAAATAAACCTTGTTCTTCATATGAGAGTGCTATGAATACTGATGGAGAGAATTCCCATCTCTGCACACTATACTCTCTGCTGCATGCTGAGATAAGAAGCTCCCTGCATTACAAGTCCTGCGAGGACCCCAAAGCAGCGCGGGAATTATAAGAAGCAGCAAGAGTGTCTTCTCACCCGATCTTCTACTACAAAATACGGAGAAATCCTCAATAAAAGATGGCTAGCCTCATCACGAAGGCATTAGATTTGTTTGCTCAAATTGTGCTTTTATTTTTATTAAATGATCTTTTGTATCAGTTGTAAAATTGTTTTAGTATTTTAAAAAATCATGATTGGCCAATCAGCGATCACGTGCAGAGTAGTAAGCACGATGTCAATTCTGACATCATTGCTTACTATGTGTTTCCATCTATACTTTAAAATAAGCTCCCTCCCCCGCCACAAAAAAAAAAAATTATGAGGAAATAAACAAAATCAAAAGTAAGTAGCGTCCCTAGCGGTCCATATTCCATATTTCTGTGCTCAAAGCGGTACATTTTTTTGCATGGAAATATGTTGTTTTTTTATTGTAGGTCTGTAATTTTTAGGAATAACTCACTGAAATCTGTCCGAACAAGAGTCTAGTAAACATCCCGGGGATGATAAAATTTGAAACACGAAATCATAAATTATAATTTAATAAATTATCATAAAAAATAATAATATAATAATAAATGTAATTCAATAATATAATCAAACCAAAAACAATGAAGTTTGAAATAGAGCGCCAAGTTCGCACATCGCTGAGCAAAGTCGCAGAATCGATCAAATACCACCAAAGAAAAGCTCTATTTGTGTGGAAAAAAAAGTATATATAAATGTAATTGGGTACAGTGTTGCATGACCGCGCAATTACCGGTTAAAGTAAATAAACAAATAAATATTCCAGTATATATCCCACAGTTTGTAGACACTATAACTTTTGGGCAAACCAATCTATATACATTTATTGGGATTTTTATTAGCAGAATACATTTTGGCCTAAATTTATAAAGAAATTTGATGTTTAAAATTTTTTATTGGATATGTTTTATAGTAATATTGTGGGTTTGTTTCAAAATTTTCAGTCTTTTTTCTTTTATATAATAATAAAAAAAAAAAAAAAAAAAAAACAGCAGTGATCAAATACCACCAAAGAAAAGCTCTATTTGTATGAAAAAAAGTATATACATTTAACCTCCCTAGCGGTCTGATTATGTCAGTATTTCTGTGCTCAAAGTGGTACATTTTTTTGCATGGAAATATGTAGTTTTTTTATTGTAGGCCTGTAATTCTTAGGAATAACTCACTGAAATCTGTCTGAACAAGAGTCTAGTAAACATCCCGGGGATGATAACATTTGAAACACGAAATCATAAATTATAATTTAATAAATAATCATAAAAAAAATAATATAATAATACATTTAATTCAATAATATAATCAAACCAAAAACACTGAAATTTGAAATAGAGCGCCAAGTCTGTACATTGCTGAGCAAAGTTGCAGAATCGATCAAATACCACCAAAGAAAAGCTCTATTTGTGTGTGAAAAAAAGTATATACATTTAACCTCCCTAGCGGTCTGATTATGTCCATATTTCTGTGCTCAAAGCGGTACATTTTTTTTTGCATGGAAATATGTAGTTTTTTATTGTAGGCTGTAATTTTTAGGAATAACTCACTGAAATCTGTCCGAACAAGAGTCTAGTAAACATCCCGGGGATGATAAAATAAAAGTATATAAATGTAATTGGGTACAGTGTTGCATGACCGCGCAATTACCGGTTAAAGTAAATAAACAAATTAATATTCCAGTATATATCCCACAGTTTGTAGACACTATAACTTTTGGGCAAACCAATCTATACATTTATTGGGATTTTTATTAGCAGAATACATTTTGGCCTAAATTTATAAAGAAATTTGATGTTTAAAATTTTTTATTGGATATGTTTTATAGTAATATTGTGGTTTTTTTTTAAATTTTCAGTCTTTTTTCATTTATATAATAAAAAAATAAAAAAAAAACAGCAGTGATCAAATACCACCAAAGAAAAGCTCTATTTGTGTGAAAAAAAGTATATACATTTAACCTCCCTAGCGGTCTGATTATGTCAGTATTTCTGTGCTCAAAGCGGTACATTTTTTTGCATTGGAAATATGTAGTTTTTTTATTGTAGGCCTGTAATTCTTAGGAATAACTCACTGAAATCTGTCCGAACAAGAGTCTAGTAAACATCCCGGGGATGATAAAATTTGAAACATGAAATCAAAAATTATAATTTAATTTGAAATAGAGCGCCAAGTCTGTACATTGCTGAGCAAAGTTGCAGAATCGATCAAATACCACCAAAGAAAAGCTCTATTTGTGTGAAAAAAAAGTTTATACATTTTAACCTCCCTAGCGGTCTGATTATGTCCATATTTCTGTGCTCAAAGCGGTACATTTTTTTTGCATGGAAATATGTAGTTTTTTATTGTAGGCTGTAATTTTAGGAATAACTCACTGAAATCTGTCCGAACAAGAGTCTAGTAAACATCCCGGGGATGATAAAATAAAAGTATATAAATGTAATTGGGTACAGTGTTGCATGACCGCGCAATTACCGGTTAAAGTAAATAAAACAAATTAATATTCCAGTATATATCCCACAGTTTGTAGACACTATAACTTTTGGGCAAACCAATCTATATACATTTATTGGGATTTTTATTAGCAGAATACATTTTGGCCTAAATTTATAAAGAAATTTGATGTTTAAAATTTTTTATTGGATATGTTTTATAGTAATATTGTGGTTTTTTTTTAAATTTTCAGTCTTTTTTCATTTATATAATAAAAAAAAATAAAAAAAAAAACAGCAGTGATCAAATACCACCAAAGAAAAGCTCTATTTGTGTGAAAAAAAGTATATACATTTAACCTCCCTAGCGGTCTGATTATGTCAGTATTTCTGTGCTCAAAGCGGTACATTTTTTTGCATTGAAATATGTAGTTTTTTTATTGTAGGCCTGTAATTCTTAGGAATAACTCACTGAAATCTGTCCGAACAAGAGTCTAGTAAACATCCCGGGGATGATAAAATTTGAAACATGAAATCAAAAATTATAATTTAATAAATAATCATAAAAAATAATAATATAATAATAATAAATTTAATTCAATAATATAATCAAACCAAAAACACTGAAATTTGAAATATAGCGCCAAGTTCACACATCGCTGAGCTCAGTCGCAAAATCGTTTTCAGTGTCTGATGAGAAATTTCCCCCACGAATCATTATCACTCAATTCTGCAAGTGGTTCTGATTTACTATCGCTGTTCTCTAGCCGGTCTAAAACCGCTTTTGACCTAAAGGGACGCTTTTTGGACGCCATGGATGTTTCTCAGTTTCCAGGCAGAAAGAACAGTAAAAATACAGGCAGGGCGCCGGACAAAGCACTCGGGACACAATGTATGTGAAATGGTTTGATACAGGAATGTTATACTATGTGATTTCAGTGTATTGAGTGAATGTCACTTTTTGTCATTTTCATATTTCCCGCCAGTTCCGTCCCCCGTACGTCCCGACGTCGCAGGGAACGGAACCCAGATGATGGATGCCGGCATCGGCCGGAGGACATGGCTGGGGACACTGCAGGGGGGACATCGCGGGAGCGCAGGACAAGGTAAGTGAAGAAGAGATCCCAAAGCAGAGCTGCAGTGTATTCCCCAGTGTAGCTAAGGGGGGGGGGGGGGGGTAACCTCTTGTGGTGCTGAAACTTTACCCCGAGCTACACTCGGGAATACCGCCAGGGGGGTAAAAGTATATATTAAGTCTTAAAGCATGGGTGTCAAACAGGCGGCCCTCAAGCTGTTATTATGATTATTATTATACAGGATTTATGGCACCAACAGTTTGCTCAGAGCTTTACAATATAACGGGAGACAATACAGCAACAATACAGATCAATACAAGAGGGATAGGAGGGCCCTGATCCTGGGAGCTTACAATCAAAGAGGGAGGGGTTGGTCATACAAAAGGTAATAACTGTGGGGGATGGACTGATAGGAGGAATAGAAGATTTGGTTATCAGCTGAGGGCAGGATAGGCTTCCCTGAAGAGAGAGGTTTTCAGAGATCACCTAAAAGTGGGCAGAGTAGGCGATAGTTGGATAGATTGGGGTAGAGAGTTCCAGAGGATGGGGGAGGTTCTGGAGAAGTCCTGGAGACAAGCATGGGAGGAAGAGCCAAGGGAGCTACAGAGCAGGAGGATTGGAGAGGACGGTTAGGGTGATATTTGGAGACAAGATCGGTGATGTAATTTGGGGCGGAGTTATAAACGGCTTTATACGTTATTGTTAATGTTCTGAATTTTATTCATTGGGCTATGGGAAGCCAGTGGAGAGATTGGCAGAGAGGGATGGGGGACACTGAGTGGAGGCCAGTGGAGGGATTGGCAGAGAGGGATGGGGGACACTGAGTGGAGGCCAGTGGAGGGATTGGCAGAGAGGGATGGGGGACACTGTGTGGAGGCCAGTGGAGGGATTGGCAGAGAGGGATGGAGGACACTGAGTGGAGGCCAATGGAGGGATTGGCAGAGAGGGATGGAGGACACTGAGTGGAGGCCAGTGGAGGGATTGGCAGAGAGGGATGGGGACACTGAGTGGAGGCCAGTGGAGGGATTGGCAGAGAGGGATGGGGGACACTGAGTGGAGGCCAGTGGAGGGATTGGCAGATATGGCTGTTGCCAAACTACAAGTCCCATGAGGCATTGCAAGATTGATAGTTACAAGCATGACTCCCAAAGGCAAGGCATGATGGGACTAGTAGTTTTGCAACAGCTGGAGGGCCACCAGTTTGACACCCCTGCCTTAAAGTATCACAGGGATGGATATTTTAACACAGTTACAGAGTTCCAGCTGGGACTATATGGCTATGTATATACCACACCTGTGGGATGGAATGGGGTCGGCAACCCTTTGATTACGATGTACCTGTCGTGAGTAGCCGATAGGTAGCTCGCCAACACAGCTTTGCTGGACCTTCCCCTCAGCCCTCACAGCTCTGCACAGCAGCAGTCCGGAGAGCGGGAGGCAGTACTAGACAGAGGGCGGGAGCTGCTGCAGTTAACCAGCAGGTGATTGATTGGTTGTTAGGAAGTCAGGGGGTGCTAGCAACCAATCACTAACTGGTTGATATGAAGGCCTCATGCACACGGGGTGTTTTTGCAGCCACTTTTAGGGGGTGTCAGGCGTTTTTATTTACTGCTTCCAAATGGCCCTCCATGTTAACCTATGTCTCCATGCACACATGCACTTTTAGAAGCGTTTAGTAGCAGTAGTAGTACCAGCAGGAAAAAAAATCCCAGGCCCAGAGCATCCAGGAGCAGCAGTGTTTTGGAAGAAAAAAAGCTTAGATACTTTTACAAGCGTCAGACAGATTCTTCAAAAATGCTGCTGCCAAGAGGACAGCTTCTAGGAGGGTTTTTTTTTTAATGTCCTGTGTGCATGAGGCCAAAAAGTTAACTCTTGCAGCTTTTGCCTGCTCCCACCCTCTGTCCAGCACTGTGCTGCCTCCCGCTCTCCGCTCTGCTGTCTGTACACACATTGCAAGGTAGGAGATCCCTACCTACACACTGCTCTGTTTTGCCCCGTCATTGGGGTCAGTGGGAGGAACAAAGCCCAGTCGTTGGGGTCAGTGGAAGGAAAAAGCCCCATCATTGGGGTCAGTGGGAGGGACAGTGCCCGTCGTTGGGGTCATTGGGAGGAACAAAGCCCAGTCGTTGGGGTCAGTAGAAGGAACAAAGCCCCATCATTGGGGTTAATGGGAGGAAACAAAGCCCCATCATTGGGGTTAATGGGAGGAACAAAGCCCCATCATTGGGGTCAGTGGGAGGAACAAAGCTCCATCATTGGGTCAGTGGGAGGAACACAGCCCCGTCGTTGGGGTAAGTGGAAGGGACAAAGCCCCATCCTTGGGGTCAGTGGGAGGGACAGTGCCCCGTTGTTGGGGTCAGTGGGAGGAATAGAGCCCCATCCTTGGGGTCAGTGGGAGGGACAGTGCCCCGTCGTTGGGGTCAGTGGGAGGAACAAAGCCCCATCATTGGGATTAGTGGGAGGAACACAGCCCCGTCGTTGGGGTCAGTGGGATTAACACAGCCCCGTCGTTGGGGTCAGTGGGAGGGACAGCGCCCCATTGTTGGGGTCAGTGGGAGGAACAGCACCCCGTCGTTGGTGTCAGTGGGAGGAATAGCACCCCATTGTTGGTGTCAGTGAATAACACCCCATCATTGGTGTCAGTAGGAGGAATAGCACCCCATCATTGGTGTCAGTGTGAATAACACCCCATCATTGGTATCAGTGGGAGGAACAGCGCCCCGTCGTTGGTGTCAGTGGGAGGAATAGCACCCCATCATTGGTGTCAGTGAATAACACCCCATCATTGGTGTCAGTGGGAGGAATAGCACCCCAATGTTGGTGTCAGTGGGAGGAATAGTGCCCCATTGTTGGTGTCAGTGGAAGGAATAATGCCCCGTTGTTGGTGTCAGTGGGAGGAATAGCACCCCATCATTGGTGTCAGTGGGAGAAATAATACCCCATCATTGGTGTCAGTTGGAGCAATAGTGTCTCATCGTAGGTGTCAGTCGGGAGAATAGCGTCCCATCGTTGGTGTCATTGGAAGGAATAGTGCTTCATATCAGTGGAAGGAAAAATGTCCCAAGAGCCGGATAAAAGAAAGCAAAGGGCCACATCTGGCCCACGGGCTGCAGTTTGAAGACCCTGCTTTAGACGGTTGGGGAATGGCTACCCTATCGGTTTGTTTTTAGCAGATCGGATGCAGGCAGGTGTAAACAGACACATATCCTAGATTGTAAGCTCCCAGGATCAGGCCCTCCTATCCCTCTTGTATTGAACTGTATTGTTGCTGTATTGTCTCCCGTTATATTGTAAAGCGCTGAGCAAACTGTTCGCGCCATAAATCCTGTATAATAATAATGATATATAAATCCTGTATAATAATAATAATAATATATAAATCCTGTATAATAATAATAATAATATATAAATCCTGTATAATAATATATAAATCCTGTATAATAATAATAATATATAAATCCTGTATAATAATAATAATAATAATATATAAATCCTGTATAATAATAATAATGATATATAAATCCTGTATAATAATAATGATATATAAATCCTGTATAATAATAATAATAATATATAAATCCTGTATAATAATATATAAATCCTGTATAATAATAATAATATATAAATCCTGTATAATAATAATAATAATATATAAATCCTGTATAATAATAATGATATATAAATCCTGTATAATAATAATGATATATAAATCCTGTATAATAATAATAATAATATATAAATCCTGTATAATAATAATAATATATAAATCCTGTATAATAATAATAATATATAAATCCTGTATAATAATAATAATAATAATATATAAATCCTGTATAATAATAATAATATATAAATCCTGTATAATAATAATGATATTATAAATCCTGTATAATAATAATGATATATAAATCCTGTATAATAATAATAATAATATATAAATCCTGTATAATAATAATAATAATAATATATAAATCCTGTATAATAATAATAATATATAAATCCTGTATAATAATAATAATAATATATAAATCCTGTATAATAATAATAATATATATAATCCTGTATAATAATATATAAATCCTGTATAATAATAATATATAAATCCTGTATAATAATAATAATATATAAATCCTGTATAATAATAATAATATATAAATCCTGTATAATAATAATAATAACATGTCCATTTACATCCACCGCTCCATAAAGGGCAATAGATGGTTCGGTTGGGTCCACCTGAGAATACAGACAGGCAGACCCGATCAGTCCGCCCGTGTGAAAGAGGCCGTACAGAAATATGGAACAGCAAACAATGTAAAAAAATCACTTCAGTAATCATTTACCCTTAAAAATACCTGGAAACGTGTAGTCACAGAAACCTAAACTAATCATATTCTGCTTTTCCACCCAACAGGGGCCCATCTTTAACTAGGGGGAGTACGGTTGAATAGACACATCTTGACAGGCCTCTTCTACAATCTGTTGACACATTTTGCAATAAACATCTCCGCTGCCAGCAAGCTCCATGGGAAAGCCTTGCCCGAGATTCAATTTCAAGCAGGTTTCATCCTCAAGTGATTGATCATATCGCAGCATTGTGAGAGTAAAGAGAGTTACGGTGTAGCGAGCTGCACAAAGAATGTCTCTACTATCTCCTGCAGACAGGTCGGAGCTGCCCTTCATGTGTAATTCATGAGATGCAACCGCTGCCTTTATTTGCAAGTGTTCTCTGTGCGTTCTAATATCAAACTCATCTGTCTCGTCTAACCCGATTTCTGGAGTAGCGCAAGAATTCAGATTCACCGCACGCCTTTCTATATGTACAGAGATCATCTGCCGTAGCCGGGCAGAATAAGTGTCTTCATTATAAGGCACTTCATGCCGACTGCATAGAAAATGCCACTTAAAGGGATCGCACAGCACTTACAGGCCTGCAATCAGGCGCTATTCTTGTCAAGGTGATTAAAGTGATTCGAAAAGCTTTAAAAGGGAAAAACCCTTCTGGGTGCGGCTCCCCCATCCCTCCCTTATGCTTACCTGAGGCCCATGTCGATCCAGCAATGTGCGCAACAGCAGAGGCTCTTTCATTGGCTCACACAACAGCAGGAACCATTGGCTCCTGCTGCTGTTAATCACAGCCAGTGAGCCAAGGAGGCGAGAGAGGGGTACAGGGCCGAGCCGCATTCCATGTGCAAATGGACACACAGAGCGTGGCGCAGGAGCAGTGGTGTCCCGAGGCGGGTGTGGCCCGCACCGGGTGACACCGACCGCACAGGGTGACACCCGACCGCACAGGGTGACACCGACCGCACAGGGTGACACCGGACCCGCTCCACGAAAAGGTAGGTTGTAAAGCAAGCTGACAATCCCAGCAGGATGGATCCAATCCATCTTGTAGGGATCGTCGGCTTTCTTTACAATTTACCTTTTCGTGGAGCGGGTCCGGTGTCACCCCGTATAGGTTGCATGCCGATGATCCCCGCAGGATGGATCGGATCTGTGGATTGGGGAGCATAATGGATCGGAGTCCGATCCATTATGCTCAATCGGCAGATCCGATCCATCCTGTAAGGATCGTCGGGTATGCAACCTATAGGGGGTGACACCGGACCCGCTCCACGAAAAGGTAAGTTGTAAAGCAAGCCGACAATCCCAGCAGGATGGATCCAATCCATCTTGTAGGGATCGTCAGCTTTCTTTACAACTTACCTTTTCGTGGAGCGGGTCCGGTGTCACCCCGTATAGGTTGCATGCCAACGATCCCCGCAGGATGGATCGGATCTGTGGATTGGGGAGCATAATGGATCGGAGTCCGCAGATCCGATCCATCCTGCAAGAATCGTCAGCATGCAACCTATACGGGGTGACACCGGACCCGCTCCACGAAAAGGTAAGTTGTAAAGAAAGCTGACGATCCCTACAAGATGGATCGGATCTGCGGACTGGGGAGCATAATGGATCGGAGTCCGATCCATGTTGCTCAATCCGCAGATCTGATCCATCCTGCAAGAATCGTCAGCATGCAACCTATACGGGGTGACACCGGACCCGTTCCACGAAAAGGTAAATTGTACAGAAAGCCAACGATTCCCGCAGGATGGATCGGATCTGCGGATTGGGGAGCATAATGGATCGGAGTCCAATCCATTATGCTCAATCCGCAGATCCAATCCATTCTGCGGGGATAGTTGGAGGGGGTGTCGCCAAGT